CTCCTCCTCCATGCTTCACGGTGGGAACCACACATGCAGAGATCATCCGTTCACCTACTATGCGTCTCACAAAGACATGGCGATTGGAACCAAAAATCTCAAATTTAGACTCATCAGACCAAAGGACAGATTTCCACCGGTCTAATGTCCATTGCTCGTGCTTCTTGGCCCAAGCAAGTCTTTTTTTCTTATTGGTGTCCTTTAGTAGTGGTTTCTTTGCAGCAATTCGACCATGAAGGCCTGATTCACACAGTCTCCTCTGAACAGTTGATGTTGAGATGTGTCTGTTACTTGAACTCTGTGAAGCATTTATTTGGGCTTCCATTTTTGAGTCTGGTAACTCTAATGAACATATCCTCTGCAGCAGAGATAAGTCTGGGTCTTCCTTTCCTTTGGATGTCCTCATGAGGGCCAGTTTCATCATAGCGCTTTATGGTTTTTGCGACTCCACTTGAAGAAACTTTCAAAGTTCTTGAAATCTTCTGGATTGACTGACCTTCATGTCTTAAAGTAATGAAGGACTGTCGTTTCCCTTTGCTTATTTGAGCTTTTTTTGCCATAATATTGACTTGGTATTTTACCAAATAGGGCTATCTTCTGTATACCAGCCCTACCTTGTCAGAACACAACTCATCGCATTAAGAAGGAAAGAAATTACACAAATTAACTTTTAACAAGGCACACCTGTTAATTGAAATGCATTCCAGGTGACTACCTCATGAAGCTGGTTGAGAGAATGCCAAGAGTGTGCAAAGCTGTTATCAAGGCAAAGGGTGGTGTCACGATCATTACATGATGCGGACCAAGGCACAGCGTGATAAGCGTACATTCTTTATTAGTACACACACGAACCAAAACAACAAACGAAACGATACGTGAAGTCCTAGGTTATACACAAAACCTTACGGAACAAGATCCCACCACCTAACCTGCCAAAAGGCTGCCGAAGTATGGTCCCCAATCAGAGACAACGAGCTACAGCTGTCTCTGATTGGGAACCACCCTGGCCAACATAGAAACTAAACGATCTAGAACAAAACATAGAAAACTATAACATAGAAAATCCACACCCTGGCTCAACATTTAATAGTCCCCAGAGCCAGGGCGTGACAGGTGGATACTTTAAAGAATCTCAAATATAAAATATATTTTGATTTGTTGAACACTTTTTTGGTTACTACATGATTCCATGTGTTATTTCATAGTTTTGATGTCTTCACTATTATTCTACAATGTATAAAATAGTCAAAATAAAGAAAATCCTTGGAATGAGTAGGTGTGTCCAAACCTTTGATTGGTACTGTATATATTTATGTATTTTAGGGGTAGACCAGCAGATAGATTGTGGCTTCTATGAATGTAATTGTCTGCATCATTTCCAATCCCCCATATATACTCAACAAAAATATAAACGCAACATGCAACAATTTCAAAAATGTTACTGAGTTGCAGTTCATATCAGAAATAAAATAATTTGACCCTAATCTATGGATTTCACATGACTGGGAATATAGATATGACAGTTGGTCACAGATACCTTTTAAAAAAAACAATTGGGGTGTGGATCAACAAACTAGTCAGTATCTGGTGTGACCACCATTTGCATCATGCGGCGTGACATTTCTCCTTTGCGTAGAGTTGATCTGGCTGTTGATTGTGGGTGTGGAATGTTGTCCCACTCCTCTTCAATGGCTGTGCGAAGTTGCTGGATATTGGCGGGAACTGGCATCCCAAACTGTCACGCTCGTCGGGAACAGAGGAGGACCAAGGCGCAGCGTTGCAGGCAAACATACTCTTTAATTTGCGATATATGACAAAACAACAAAACGATAACGTGACAGTTCACAGTCTAACACAAACCAACTAGAAACAAGATCCCACAACTACTGTGGGAAAACAGCCTGTTTAAATGTGGTTCCCAATCAGAGACAACCAGCCACAGCTGACACTCGTTGCCTCTGATTGAGAACCACACTGGCCAACATAGAAATGAAACACCTAGATAAGCAAATGAAACGCACACCCTGGCTCAACATACAAGTGTCCCCAGAGCCAGGGCGTGACAGTACCCCCCCCTAAAGGCGCGGACTCCGACCGCGTCAACTAAATACCACAGGGGAGGGACCGGGTGGGCACTCCGCCTTGGCGGCGGATCCGGCTCCGGGCCTGATCCCCACTCCCTCTCCAACCCCCCAAAGTACCCCTGGTCCGGTCTGGCCCCGCTGACCGGAGCTGGACTGCACACTGGTGGAGCGGATTGCTCTAGCTCCGGCGTGAAGCAGCTGACCGGTGCCGGACCAGGCACCGGTGGAACAGGCACGGGCCGTGCCGGACTGACGACGCGTACCATAGGCTTGGTGCGGGGAGCAGGAGCGGGCCTGACCGGACTGGCGACGCACACCACTGGCTTGGTGTGGGGAACAGGCACGGGCCGTGCCGGACTGACGACGCACACCACTGGCTTGGTGTGGGGAGCAGGAGCGGACCGGACCGGGCTGGCGACGCACACCACTGGCTTGGTGTGGGGAACAGGCACGGGCCGTGCCGGACTGACGACGCGTACCATAGGCTTGGTGCGGGGAGCAGGAGCGGGCCTGACCGGACTGGCGACGCACACCACTGGCTTGGTGTGGGGAACAGGCACGGGCCGTGCCGGACTGACGACGCACACCACTGGCTTGGTGTGGGGAGCAGGAGCGGGCTGGCGACGCACCCCACTGGCTTGGTGTGGGGAACAGGCACGGGCCGTGCCGGGCTGGCGACGCACACCACTGGCTTGGTGTGGGGAGCAGGAGCGGGCCGGACCGGGCTGGCGACGCACACCACTGGCTTGGTGTGGGGAACAGGCACGGGCCGTGCCGGACTGACGACGCACACCACTGGCTTGGTGTGGGGAGCAGGAGCGGGCCGGACCGGGCTGGCGACGCGCACCATAGGCTCGGTGCGGGGAGCAGGAACAGGCCAGGCCGGGCTGGCGAAGCGTACCATAGGCTCGGTGCGGGGAGCAGGAACAGGCCGGGCCGGGCTGGCGACGCGCACCACAGGCTCGATGCGAGGAACAGGAACAGGCCGGCCCGTACTGGGGACACACACCACTGGCCCTATGCAGGGATCAGGAACGGGTCGGACCGGACTGGTAACACACCCCAGTACCTCTCGCCGTGCCTCTACACCTTCCTTCCCCTATTCGACCAGTGGCCGCCGTAACCTGGCGGCCTCCTCTGCCAACCCGCTGGACTGCTCTGTCGCGGTCTCCTGCTGCCCCATCGTCCACGGCGTTAGCCCCCCCCTAAAACTGTTATGGGCTTCACTCCTACCCGTGGACCAGGTCTCCATACTTTTTGCCAGCCTTTCGCCCTTCTGCTTCCACGTCAAGCCCCTCTCTTCCTCACATGGCTTGACCCAGTCGAGGAGGCGAAGGAGATCCGCTAGAGATCTCTCAGGCGATGGCTCCTGGACTTGCTGCTTGGTCCAGTCTTGGTGGGATCTTCTGTCACGCTCGTCGGGAACAGAGGAGGACCAAGGCGCAGCGTTGCAGGCAAACATACACTTTAATTTGCGATATATGACAAAACAACAAAACGATAACGTGACAGTTCACAGTCTAACACAAACCAACTAGAAACAAGATCCCACAACTACTGTGGGAAAACAGCCTGTTTAAATGTGGTTCCCAATTAGAGACAACCAGCCACAGCTGACACTCGTTGCCTCTGATTGAGAACCACACTGGCCAACATAGAAATGAAACACCTAGATAAGCAAATGAAACGCACACCCTGGCTCAACATACAAGTGTCCCCAGAGCCAGGGCGTGACACAAACATGCTCAATGGGTAACATGTCTTGTGAGTATGCGGGTCACGGAAGAACTGGGACATTTTCAGCTTCAAGCAATTGTGTACAGATCCTTGCGACATGGGGCCGTGCATTATCATGCTGAAACATGAGGTGATGGTAGTGGATGAATGGCATAACAATGGGCTTCATTATCTCGTTGAGGAATCTCTGTATATTCTAATTTCCATCGATAAAATGCAAATGTCTTAATTGTTCGTAGCTTATGCCTGCCCATACCATAACCCCACCGCCACCATGGGGCACTCTGTTCACAACGTTGACACCAGCAAACCGCTCGCCCACACAACACCATACAAGTGGTCTGCGGTTGTGAGGCCAGTTGGACGTACTGCTAAATTCTCTAAAACAACATGACGGCTTATGGTAGAGAAATGAACGTCCGATTGTCTGGCAACAGCTCTGATGGACATTCCTGCAGTCAGCATGCCAATTGCATGCTCCCTCAAAACATGAGACATCTGCAGCGTTGTGTTGTGTGACAAAACTGCACATTTTAGAATGGACTTTTATTGTCCCCAGCACAAGGTGCACCTGTGTAAGGAGCATGCTGTTTAATCAGCTTATTGATATGCCACACCTGTCAGGTGGATTGATAAGAAATAAGATTTTTTTGTGTGCATGGGGGGAAATAATGATATTTCATTTCAGCTCATGAAACATGGGACCAACACTTCACATGTTGTGTTTATATTTTTGTTCAGTGTATTGTTTTCTAAATATACATATATTTTTAAGTATATTTCCCTTCTTAATTATTTTCCACTAACCCTACCACCCTTCCCCTAATTGGAGTAAACTAATGGACAACAATACTTAGGCTTCTACTTCCAGCTTACATACTATATACATTTTACGGACACAGTATATTTTACATTAGTTAGCTATTTTCACACAGTAGCCAACGTTATACTGCTTTTTACCTAAAAGATACGGTGAGGACAAAGAGAGCCCAACGAGGTGAGAGGGTGAGAAATTGTGACCTGTTTGAAGAGGAGATCTTCATATTTAGTGATCCGGATTTAGAAGGGAAAATCTGGACCATGTTGACCACAGCTTTTCATTAATTTCCCCAAATTCTTCACAATGTTGCAGATACATTGAAATGTATGATTGATATTTATTTCCTGTTTAATCTAGCAAGCTGTCTAGTTCCCCCTCATATTAATAATGGAGATCACACCAAGGGAAATAAAGATGCTGAAGGTGTTTTTAAAGATGTGTCCTACAAATGTAACTTATACTACACACTGAGTTTCAAAGACAGCATCAGATGTCTGAATGGAGAATGGGAGACCCCTCCACAATGCTTACGTAAGAACATTATTTTCATCCAGTATGACCCGATCATGTGTTTGAAACCTGGCTCAAGTATTGCTGATTTTATGATACTTATTTTTATTTTATTTTATCAGGGCCTTGTGAGATTCACACTTTTGATCCAAAGCACAATCTTCAGGATTTGTCCGAAATAAGTTATGTTCCTGACAAGGACAAAATAGCTATCAAATGCAAAAACGGATATTACCATGAATGGGGAATAGCTAAGAATACAAGAGAAATTAAGTTGGAGTGCAAAGATGGAAAAATAAACTATTTGGACGACCTACCTCTATGTAAGTGCTATGATGTAAAGTCAAACATACATCCAGGATATCAGTGTCATGTGGTGATTCTATATATGGAACGCATAAGTCCAGGATGCAATGTGATATATCTGTTGTTGATTACAGTAATTCAATTTGATATACATTTTGATTGAAATACCAATTTTAAATGAAAACCTTTGCTTTGCTGCAATAATGCGATTCTGTGTAACATTCCCACTGTATAAACATATCGATTACATTTTCGTTTGATTTTAGGCAGCCATCTAGGTTAAGGTGAAAGTTGGTGAACATATCATAGATCGTGACAATATGGGTAAGTTAACAGGTGTGCTCATTTTGAAGAAAGTCATACCCTTAATTTACACAAACCTGTAGGGGGACTGAAGGCAGAGCAAACGTCTAAAATCAACTATAAACAGTAGTATAAACAGTATTATAAACAGTATTATGAACAGTATTATATACAGTATTAAACACAGTCCTGACATCATTAAACACTGTCTCTATAGTTGGAGTGATCGGCAGTATTACTCCACAGACTCTCCTCTATAGTAATAGTGATCAGCAGTATTACTCCAGACTCTGATTATCCTGTCATGTGATTTCATTCCTACAGATATCTGACAGAGTCATGATGTTCCGTCCTTCAAATTCAAGAATCCTTACAAAGCCTTCTTTATGTGCAAGGAGAAGACCTTTTTGCTTTCGTGGTTTCTTTTTCGCTTGTTTAAGTTAGGTTTAGAAAAAATGTGAGCCATCCAGTTATGAAATACGTGTAGATGTCTCTTTTTTTTAACATTTGACATTGTATCATCGTAACAAAATAACAGTATTTTTCTAATCATATCAGTCTCAGCTTCACTATAATAACAGTTCAGCTATCTAAAGCTAGACTAAAATGGTAAATTAGTACAAAGAGATGTGATTGTGTGAATATCCTCCTAACAAGTTTATAAATTGCCTGGCTGGGCTGATGATACTGTGGATTGCGCATTTCAACGTCATAAATTTAGCCGGTGGTAACTTGTGGAATTGACACCGGCTGGAATGCGGTTTTAACCAATCAGCATTCAGGATTATCCGTTGTATAATATGTGAATGTCCTCCTGTATCTCCCAGCTGTGTGATTCATTATCTGAAGGTTTAATATAAATGAACAACTGATGTTATGATTGTGATTGACCTTATCAAGGAAGACAATAAAGTTGTCAAAAAGAGATGACGTGTTGTCTCCATGAGTCTTTACAAGGCTCCAGTATAACAGAATAAGATGATTTACAGCTGTTATCCTAACAAACACACATGCAGTATTAAAGCTGACTGAAGCTATTTTTCAATTTACTAATCTACTCTTTAGTTCATCTGGGAATATTATCATCAAGTATTTTTTTACATAATTGAAGCAGCCAGACAATATCTATAAAAATGTTCCTGTGGTGTTCTTCACCATGTATATTGACTACATCATCGTCACTGAGTGAATCCTGAACATTAAAGGCAGGAATATTGACCTTCAATTCTTACATGCAAGAAAACTTTTAATGTAATGTTATGAATGTTTTGTTTAGTTGATAGGCTAATATTGGACAAACCCTGGCATGCTCCCAAAGTGTAGCAATTGATTTTGACCCTCCCCTGTTACCCCTGGAAAACATGGCTTGATGGGAAACAGTGATATTGGATTACTAGAACAAACATACTGAAGGCCATGTCTGTCGACAGTTAACCAGATTTATGTAAGCGTTATGTAAGTACAGTATTTGTTGTTCAACATCTTTTGTGATTCAATAATGACCATGCAAATGTTTTAATGAAGCCTATCAGCATTGCATTATTTGATAACTGTAGCCCTCAATGTCTTTCTAGCTTTAAACCTACAGTGTGCACATCAGAATATTGTAGATACAGTATGTCTCTATATTATGTAGCTAAAACAATATTTGCAACACTAGCGAAGACCAAGATAGTATGTGTACGCGATTAGTA